AATAGACCCCACTGCGAGAAAAAAGCAAAACAATGTTGAACATTATATCAATGGATCACCGTAAATCAGTGATGACAGCGAAAAGTGTGAGCATGTTCTGCCCTACCGGTAGCACCCACCATTCACAGTGCCATAATAGTACTTCTGCCATGCGACGGTGGCCTGTGAACAAACCAAATAATCAAGTGATCGCTGGACCTGATACTCCAGCGGCAAAATTGTGAATGTATTGATTTTGAAATCTGGTGGTTACTGTTAAGTTGGCAGGTGCACAGGTTTGACAAGTAAATAGCTGTTCCGGTCACATTGCCCCCTCACTTTATCCAATCACATAATGATAGAAAGGCCACCTGGACATGTTACGATTTACAAAGTTATTAAAAGTTTAATCAACATGTATGTTACAAAGTGATACGATATCTTGAGTTACTCTCACGATCCCTTACCATTTTAATACATACATAAACAAATTGTATTGTTTATCTCTCTTATAACACTTCTGTTACTGGCAGCTGTCCTGATGGAAAATGTACATACAGCTACCAGTGTCACTGTCTATCTCTGACATAATACTTCTGTTACAGACAACTGTCCTAATGGTACATACAGCTACCAGTACTAGTGTCACTGTCGATCTCTGATATAATACTTCCGTTACAGACAACTGTCCTGATGGTACAAACGGCTACCAGTGTCGCTGTCTATCTCTGATATAATACTTCCGTTACAGACAACTGTCCTGATGGTACAAACGGCTACCAGTGTCACTGTCTATCTCTGATATAATACTTCCGTTACAGACAACTGTCCTGATGGTACAAACGGCTACCAGTGTCACTGTCTATCTCTGGTATAATACGTATGTTACCAGCATCTGTCCTGATGGTACATACATCTACCAGTGTCACTGTCTGTCTATGATATAATACTTCTGTTACAGGTTGATGTCCTGTTGATACATACGTTTTCAGTGTTGTTCAGCTGTCCTCACTGTACACACACCAACCAGCACTGTTGGATATATCTTACACTTCTATTATGTTACAGGAGTCTGCCCTAATGGCACATATGGCTACGACTGTGGTTACCAGTGTCACTGTCCTTTGGAAAAATGTGATGCTACCATTGGCTGTAGACCTGAAGATTGTGATCTAGGCTGGTCAGGACTGACATGTCATAAAGGTAACGTATTTTATGCTTGACAATCATGGTATGCAACAACGAACCATTATACCATTCAAAATTCAAAAACACATTAAAAACACCCTTTGGTTCTTTTGTTTTGTGAATGTGAAATAAAACAAATTATGTCACTTTTCATTAATTTCCATACGACAAAACTAGCAGGTATTGATTAATAACTAGAGTTTTTACTAATACGGGTTAAAATATGCAGTGTAATATCATTTTGATATTTGCATAGTGTGCAATTAGTGATTCACAAAGCTGAATTTTCACTGGACGATACATGTTCATTCACAACATTCACAAATCCATAGCATTCATTCACATGTTTTACGTGCGACATTCTCACATAGTCGATATTTGAAGACAAGAAAGTTGAAGAAACATAGTTTCATATCAACCACATGATTTCACAATACAATCAACAAAGCATTCAAATGATTTTAGTTTACAATATACATAATTAGCAAAATCAAAACTACGTCTGCGTTGTTTGCAAACAAACAAGTCTGACCATTTGACACCTGTCAAAGCTAATTACCTCGTTAAAGTGGACGATGGTCTGACAGGAAGAGGTACTCGTAAAATTGTACCTCTGAACACATTTAATGTCTTTGTTGTTGAAACTGCGTATGGCCAGATTGACGTTCCACGATCTGTTTGCGAGCCTTACTTGTATACCAAGATCAAAGCAATCAAGTCCGGGTTTGACATCGTTTGTGCTAGCGGACTTCCTGTTTTACAACTTTTTCGACCTTCAAATCCAAACAATGGACCGTACAGACAGGATTCCCTTGTGAATGATATCGATACGTTATTGATTGTCATGAAAACAAAATCCCATTGACAAAGACTAAACTTGACATGAAGTTAGTTCTCAAGTTTATACACAAACACTCAACTGACAAAGGAAAGGCAGAAGAAACTTATGAAAATTGTTGATGTTGGCACGGAATTCAGACAGTTCATGAATACGAACTGATAGCTTCAAAGTGGAACATGATCAAGGGTTACATGGAGCGTTACCTTCAGCGACCTGATTACCAACATCTGCTCTCGTAATAGCTGCTGAACTCAGGGAGGTGATGGCATCAAAACAAAAATCAAGGAAAGGAAACTTACTCCAGCGAGCTAATATCTAAGTCTCTAGATACAGTGATGGAACAATAATTCTGCTTTGGACTGAGACGAATTTTAAGGTATCTTTACATCATTTGGAACGTCAGTCAGATACAAGGCAGGGTGATCAATCCCATTTACGGTGACCGTTTATAAGTTGTATGATGTTCGCTCGTAATATATCTGGCACCCAACACACAGTTCGAGGTACAATGTGGAAACACTTTGTGTGAACGACAATCTGTTGGCAGAAACAAGTTCGGCTCCCTCATGATCACCACGGCTGGATTTTCTACAGATTAAACGGCTGACGAGCCATTGCACTCGAAACAGAATGATCCAAACGTTATCCAACAAAGGTGCCCCAGCGCATTAGATAATGCAAGTTTTGGGCCATGAGAACACCCTGTCTATGTAGCAGCTATTTAACCACAAAGGAATCACATCATCAAAATATCACACCCTGTTCTCGGGGCCCATATATGGAGGTGTTTACATTCCACCATTTCTTCTAACGACTCCAGTCACTCCTCTGTCGACAGACATTTACCGGTCTAAAGAAGTCGAACCCTTTTTTATTCTGATTCTTGGTAGCCTATAAAACTTGTCCGAAAGTGTTACACTGGTTTTGCTGTTATTCTTGGTTCCGGCTGTCTCATATCTGGGTCAAGTCAGGTCATTATTCTTGCACTGTGACAGCAATCGTTCTTTTCAAAGTTTACCTCACCCCATCCGTGGTCTAGTAGTGGAACGTCCGCCTGGAGTGTGGAATGTTCGGGGTTCGATCCCTGGGCCGCGTTAAATTTATGGTACTTGTTACCCTGCCTGGCACTTGGCATTAAGGGGCTAAAGCAAAGGACTGGTCGGCGCGGAGTCACTATACTCTGTCTGACTTGGGTGTTCATGTTAAACTGCGGCATGGTATCTCAGTGGGCCAGCACTATAAATCGCAATTAGTTCGGACGAGTACAGGCAGACACACACGTGAATGCGCGTCACTTTGAGAGTGCAATAATCTTGTACGCGACGTTCAACCCCATTGTCCGTCACCTGAAAATTCACCTACTTCTCCTTACTTTACTCAAATAAACATTTATGCTGCACTTTCCCTCTTTGTTGTTATATCTTTTGGTATTTTTTTGCGAATGACACACGAAACAAACCACAGGTTTCTTTGATTCCTCTTCTTTTTGTGAAGACCATGTTTATACACTGTCAATGACAATGATTGAGAAGCCTTTTGAACTTTGTTTTAACTCGGCTTGCTTAATCACTGTGTAAATCAGACAGGAATATATATTGTAAAAATTTAAGGTTGGTAACAGAAGTATACTTTTCACGCGTAACACGAGTAATGCGATTTGAATGAGTGGACACATTTTTGCACACGCGAATGGATGCAAGCAGCTGATATGTATCTTTAATAGTATGACGGGTCATAAGTAGAATATCCCACTCGAGCTCTGAAATCGAAACATTGATTTCACCCGTGACATAGTTTCTTGGATTTTTCTACAAGTAGGTATTAATTAAGGCATTCACAGAAAACATATAACAAATACTATTAAGTTAAGGGTTTCAAAGAGGCGTCTATGTCATGTTCTTATTGCAACAGTTGATATATTTGTTCAGAATAATCCTATTTTGTATTACCATTCCTCATTTTGGTCAATCGACACTTGGTATGTAGAGATTGGGGAGTTAGTTTCCGACTTCTGCCTGGGCTAATTGATTGTTAATTGCACTGGTTGCAATATGAGATAGATATGCTCTATGATTTCATTTTTGTACTTAGAACACAGCAGGTATATGTATCAAAAAGGCAGATCTAGGTTGGTATTGATTGGTATACCGTTGCCATCAAACGATTCGGAAAAAAGAATTAATGCATGTAATGTCATTTTTCACAGGCAATATAGCTCTCCGCAAAAACACATCAGCCAGCTCAGTCTACGACCATAGGGGGCCAGGCAATGCTGTAAATGGAGACAACAGTGCAAGGGACAATAGCAAGTGCTTTCATTCAGCCTGGGGCAACTCTACCACAGATGCACGGTGGAGAGTCGATCTTGGGGAGGAAAGCAGAATTCATCACGTCACATTATACTTCAGAATAGATTGTGAGTCCAAAGAAAACTATGTGACCACATTTTATCCATGTCCATGTTAAGTTGATAAGTCCATGTTTCACTTGCAATATTGTCGAGGTCTATGTGGCACATGGCCGCACGCATTCTGACCAATTGTTAACTATTTTGTAGCCACTGCCAGGGTATGGTTATATAGAGCCAAGTTTTGTTGATGATTCAGCTGTTTTGAATAAGAACATGTTGTTTATATTTGTCAGACACTTATGGAGATGTAATAAATCAGCATATACCTTCATATCAACAAACATCTACCAAAGCGGACAAAACGTCAGATTCTTTCTCAGTTTATCTCAACAGGCGCATCATTTTGACACTTCAACGTTCTTCTATGATATGTGTACATGTATACAGCGATAATGTTGAACTACTTACGTTGACCAGATACAGTACGTCGGAACGGTATCCAGTTCTATATAGCTGATACTGAAGCCTCCCCAACAGATGGAGTCAACTGCTACAACGTGACTGGGAATGGAGACGGGACAGACATACCTGATGTTTTGAACGTCACATGTTCTGGTGAAGGGCGTTATCTGGTCCTGTACACCACCACTATCAACAACGAACCAGATGGTTATAAAAAGCCCATCATGGATTTCTGTGAAGTGGAGGTTGACGGTACAAGCAATATCTTTTTTGTCGACTTCTATTATTTTATAAACTCAATGATTTTACTGTGACTGTAAGGTGATGAGTTATTTCCACGTTTACATATGAAAACTACTAACAAATTTATATTCTTCCTGCATAAACGCAATATTTTCAGTGAAACTGTCGATATCAAAGCAGGGCTGAATCTCACAGATGCATGGGATGGAAGCTGTGCTGCTCTATGTTTCCTTGTGAAGTAAAATTGATTTGAAGAACTTATTAACATACAGTTTATTGGATGGGTTGGGATGCGTGGAGATAAAATATTTCAAACAAAACAACCGAAATTGTTGAATATATTATTAATGGTATTAAGATAGCCAAGTTTTGTATGCTTAGTTCAAACCTCTGACTGCATCAAAACGTACACGTGACAGCAGGTGGTCTTGAAGACCGGTCACAAATCAGGTACATTTCAGCAACGTCGGTCGCAGTCTATTTTGACCGGTTACCCCATTCGGCAGCTAGATTCCTGAGCGTCTAATGAGCTTTGGTTCTGCCCCACACCACCGCACATGCTGAACACGTTGCTCCTAAGGCAATTGAATTCGTTCAAAGTATGCCTGTGTTCACTCTCCACCCACCACTAAAAGTGGTACCCGGTGAGATGAGGCAGTTTTGTGGCTGTTAACTTCTTATACCTGAAAATGAAGCTTGGGTTGTATACTTCTCAGCGAGATGAGAACGAAAAACGAGTGCAGGGTGATCTATTGACCGGGATAGTTATGGTAGCACTTTGGGTAGGCACTGAGTGTATTGAGGCATAGAGGTGTAATCGCAACACAATGACATGGCGTTGTTAGTTTCCCCGTGTACTAACCAACAACAAAACAACTAAAGATGTCCAATGAAGTGAAGACCTACTACGTGATTGCACTCGTGACGATCTTGGATAGAACAGGTCTTCAGCAACCAATGCTTGTCATAAGAGGCGACTGTGCTTGTGGAAAGAGGGGATGGCAGGACCGGGCGGTTAGGCTCCCTGACTCGGTAGATGTATGTCATCGTATCCCAATCGCGTGGACAGATGCTCATTATCTTAATCACTGGGTTGTCTGGTCCAGATTCGATTATTTACAGACCGCCGTCATCATATAGCTGGACATAATGCGGCGTTAAACAACAGGCCGGGATTCTAGTGAAATATAATTACTTTACATCCTTATGAAAAAAGAGTAATTTCCCTCCAAACAAAACGACATTGTTGCAGGATTATCTCGTTTCAGTTACAAACGTTTTGGTGCAGTAGATCATTAAGTATCCAGTGTCCAGACACAATTCTGCCATCATTGTTATGGATGAAACGAATCAATGTATTCTGTGTCAAAGTGCAGCGTTACAAATCAGACCCCAAACAACTTTGTTGGAAACAAAACGCCAACCCAGGACGGTAGAAGACGGTAGGGACATTAAACGTGCATTGTGTTGGAAGGTACAAGTCACATACCCTTACGCTTATACGTCGAAATGTTATATTCGTTTTCCGTCAGCCATGGCTATAACATTTCAGGATGTCTGATATTGATTCGAAATAGCATATTCGTATTAACGAGACATTAAAGTGTGTTGAGCATATTACTTTGTTCGTCTGTTTTGTACAAGAAATAACTTCACTTATTAACAGTGTGTAGCAATGGTACTTTCGGGGCTGACTGTGACAACTACTGCCACTGTGACAGCGAGGTGTGCGACTACGTGAGCGGAGTCTGTCCTGGTGGCGTCTGTCTACCTGGTTGGGCAACAGAAACGTGTGAGACAGGTCCGTGCTGGTTACCTGTTGCAAAATATAGTATGATCTCTCAGCCCATTCTACCTTATAAGTTTCATAATGGCTTTTTCTTTCAAACTGGGATCGAGTCAGCTGTTATACGACTCACTACAATATTACATCACATTAGTTTATCTTTCAGCATGTGAATTTGGCCGCTATGGAGCAAACTGTAGTCACAATTGCCCAAATAGGAACTGCAAGGGAGACAACTCTAGCTGTGACCACGTGACAGGGGAGTGTGTTGGAGGCTGTTTGACAGGATGGAATGGCACAGACTGTACCCAGAGTAAGATGCTTGTATACTATTAACTGCACACACAAATTTTTCATGCCTTTTTTAATATAATATAAAAGGTGAGGTGAAATGGGGTTTAACGTCGCGTCCAAGATCATTGCACGTATATAGCGACGTGCATATAAGTGTGTGTGTTTGTATGGCTGCTTGTGCTAGTCATATACTGACTCCGAGCCGACAAGTCCTTGTTTTAGCACCGTAATGCCTAGCGCCAGACAAGGTAACAACAACTACCATCTTTTAACGTCTTTTGGTATGACGCGGCCGGGGATCGAACCCCAGACCTTCCGCTCTACGGGCGAACGCTCTACCACTAGACTACGGTGCGGTCGAATATAATAATAAATAAGAAACTTTAAGGAGTAATCATGTGCACCAGTTACTACAAGTAAAATTGGTCTGTGTGTATGTTTACACTTCAAAGTATTACTGCGGGTGTCATTTATTCCCAGAATGCTTACATTCGTATGGCGACGGCTGTTCCAAACGGTGCTCTGAGAGGAAGTGCAACGAAACCTCGCAAGACAACTGTGATCACGTGACCGGGGAGTGTGACAGAGGTTGCATCCCCGGATGGAAAGACACTGACTGCACAGAAGGTTTTTTCCTGTCACATCTACCAGTTCTATTTGTTTATTTATTGTCACATACAGCTATGTTATTCAGCAATAGCAATGTATATATTACTATTCTTTACGTTCCTATCCACAGCCTGTATCCACGAAGTGGAGTATGGCAGTGGATGTGTGGGTAACTGCAGTACCCGGACGTGTGAAGGAGAGAATGACACCTGTCCCCGGGACACAGGCCGATGTGAGTCAGGATGTCAGCCAGGGTGGAAAGGAGAAGACTGCACTCAAGGTAATTCACAACAACGATATAAATACCACAGATGTTCGACATGGCTTACAAATCCCCCCCAAAAAATCCAATCCAACAAATGGTATGACCATGTTGCTGTTGCTAGGTTTTGCACATTAATTGTCAATATAGAATGCAGTGACGGATGGACATGAACTATAGCTAGTAACAAACGCTATAGAATAACTGTGAAAATTACAAAAAATGAAAGATTTTGTCTGGCATACCCTATTTAAAACGTTTAACGTTGTTTTGAAACTCGCCTTTGGACTATTTTGATTTCAGTGTGCAGTTTTGGTACATTTGGTGTCAACTGTACTGGAGTTTGTGGTCAGTGTCTTGACCTCAACGCCTGTCATCATGACAACGGTACCTGTCTGACTGGATGCAGTGACGGATGGACTAACCACGCCTGTACAGAGAGTAAGAGGGGAATCAGGTTTACAATCATCTGTTAACACGTTTATAATATCACTTGATGTAATTTCCATGTCTTCACTGCTTACCTGATGCCAAACAAAAAGGCATTCTCTGTCAATTACGCTGAAAAGTATCCGAAATGTGTGTATGTATGTGTGCTTAAACGCAAATGGGCCTCGGGTAGCCCAGTCGTCAATGGTGCCACAATTCCCTCTGCAGAGTTGCGTCCCTTAGGCACGCCAGAAGCTGTGCTCGGGGGTTTACCGAAGTGGTAAACGTCTAAGACCTACATCATTTCGGGGCTTTCCTCCCAACTATAATACAAACATATGCACCAATATTGGTTGCTGTTTCATATTCAATCTAAACAAATGATACAATATGCATGTTTATTAGATATAACAGTTAATAAAAATATGTATGTGCACTTTTGCAAATATCACACAGCGTCATTTCCCATGTTTTGATATTACCGAACTGAAATTACAAATTACACATAAGCATAAAGACACAGATCAGCAAGGATGGGAGCAAGATTTGTACCATGGGAATGTCTACTTCTTGTCTAAATGTCCCATCTCCTAAATTACACATAGATGTCATCTTGATATTTAATTGATATTCATAAACATAGAGGCAAGTTATCTGTTGGGGTCAATGTTATCATATTCCGTTCATGAAGCTTTGTTTTTATTGTTGGTTTTGTTGTAGTTGGTTTTTTTGTTGCTGTTTTTTGTTTGTTTTGTTTTTTGTTTGTTTTTGTTTGTTTTTTGTTTTTGTTTTTGTTTTTTTGGGGGGGTTGGTGGGGGAGGGGTTTAATGTGATTTCGGCAAAGATTACCTTAGATTGTACCGTGATTGTACTGATTGTGCATTTTGTACATAGTGTTAATCTAGGTTTGTATATGTTCATCTCGGTAATCGACACCTATCAATGTATTCAAATGAAGGGCCTTGAAACTCACCAAACAAAATCGAGGTAGTCAAAGGTAAAACGAATGCCTTACCATCACATGGGGACATTGTTCTGATACTATTGTTTAACAACTGACCTGCTGCAGAGCTTGTTGAAGTACCCCCGACGGATGCTGGAGTCATAGCAGGGTCTCTCGCTACCGTCATTGTTGCGGCAGCCATTGTAATTGTGGCTGTGGCCATCGTCAGGTGATGTAGACTTCATGTATATTTACACTCCAAACTAATATTGTCAAGCACATGGCAAAGCATTAAGACGAAAAATATATTAGATTGTTTGTTCAAGATTATTGTTTTCGAACCTTCAACTTATCTGTCACGCAATCTACACATGGTGCGCTGCATTTGTCAGTTGGCATAAAGGAAGGTAACACGTTGATCATCGCCACTGCCATGTTTTATTGTCACAGAGAGAAAATAGTGTTTAAAAGTAATGTGTTATATAAACCGTTTGTGCAGGCGAAGACGACGTGATAATAAGAAGTCTCAAAACCACTCAAGTATGGTCCAAATACAGACAGGTTAGTTTTGGAAGTATATGACATATAACTATATGACACCTTCAAGTAATCAGTTAATATATACACCCACTAACGTACCCATATCAAGACGAGGGATAATTGTTGAATATTCATGTATACTCATATTACCTCACACACACTTACGTCTCTTATGTATGCAGCAGAGGACAACCAAGAGACGGGAGTGGACAACCCTGTAGCTGTCCTTGGGGAGGATGAGGGCGATGTGGAGGAGGACCTCAGTGCCACATACTACAACATGGGGAGTGCTCCTGCAGTGACGGTGGTGTCTGTAGATCAGCTGGGGGAGCGGATGAAGGAGCTGCAGGTGCCCGCCGGGGGATTCCAGGCCGAGTATCAGGTCAGCTTGAATGTCAAATAATACATCTATTCTTTGTATAACTGCCTATTGCTGATTCTCAATAAACAATCATTTGTACATAGATCACTACTGTGTAAAGATCCTGTGCAAAGCCTGACTGAAACACGATTCAAAATAAATACTTAAGATAAGATGAGAAATGTACGACGGGTATTCATTCTTTGTCTCATGTGTTTTGGTGTTAAAGGGTAGATATAATAATGTAATATTTATGTTATGCCAGAAATTACCCACTGCCTTCACCAAATCTTACAAGCATTCTCAGCAACCAGAAAACAAGGGAAAAAACAAATATATTAGTTATTATCCTTGTGAGTATACGTTTCTTTTCCATGTTGTCCATATTGTATGTGCGCTCTGAAAAATAAAGTGGAAGTGTTGGTGTATGTCTGTTTGTGTATGCGTGTGTGAGTGCTTGTTGTTTGATGCCACATTTGGCAATATTCCACCTGTTTGACGGCCGTATATGAACAGTCGAGTATAGACAACCCAGCCCAGTCTGGACATGTAATCAGCTAAGTCACCAAGCCTGACCACCAGATCCCGTTAGTCGCCTCTGACAACAAACATGGCTTCATGAAGACCAATTCTAACCCGGACCTTCACTGGCAGGTGATGAGTGTCAGTGTAAGTGATTTGTTAATGGGTGTGAGTGAGTGTGAGTGCCATGAGTGTATGCGTAACATGTGATGCTAGTTAGTTGCATCAATTATTGAAGGATTCCGACTTTACGAGCATATGATGAGCACGTGTTTAGTAATTACTATCAAGAAGTGATTGTACCAGGTGTTCACGCAAAGTTGAGCTCATCCTGTTCCACTGGTGGCACCCATGACAAATACAAGCAAATGCAAATCGATTGATTGCTTGAAAACAACAACACGGACGCATTGAGTACAATTCAAGATAGGGAATTGCAAGGCGATATTTCTTACTGATGCTTCTATTTTGGAAAATGTGTTTCATGTGCCAGCCACAAAATATGCTAAAAGATTTACTTTTGTTTGAATAGTGTTAACCTGATGAAACAGTTTTTGAGCCAGAGTTATATGGCGCTCTTTGAAATATTCACAGAAGGGACTGTTTGATTGTGCCTCAAAAGTTGCTGAATGAAGACAGCACATACTGAAGCCAATGGAGTATTGCTCAACACAAGGGGAAAGTTGATTACTGAAAAGTTGAAGTCATCCCTCTTGTCATACGACCATGTATAGAGTTGTTTTGTCACTCTGAATCTTTATGCATAGCTCTAAATGTGAAACTGTTGAGGCGCTTTTACATGCAGCTAAATTTGATTTTGACATTACCATTTCGTTATTTTCAACTGAATAATTGGCTTAAGATGAATACACTGCAGCGTTAAATGAAGTAATACTTTTATAGTCACCTTTTAGCAATATTCAAATGAAATGTTTACTTCTATATTCCCTTAGATACATGTATTTGGGGTATCATCAAAGTTTTCCCCAACGCAAAATGAGAGCACATATGTTTCGATTAAGTTGAAGGTGAAGTGAAATTGGAATGAACGTTGCGTCCAAGATTATTGCACTTATATAGCGATGTGCATGCACGCGTGTGTGTGGCTGCTTGTACTAGTCCGGACTAATGCCGATTCATAGTGCTAGCTCACTGAGATACCATGCCGCATTTTAACATGAATACCCCACTCAGGCACACTACACTGATTCCGAGTCGACCAATCCTTGTTTAAGCCCCTTTATGCCTAACGTCAGACAGGGTAACAACAAGTACCATCTTTTAACGTCTTTTGGTATGACGCGGCCCCGGTCCTTCCGCTCTCCGGGCGGACGCACTACCACTAGACCACGGCGGCGGTCGTATCGATTAAGATAGACCTTCTTCAAGATTTCGTTGACATCCCCACTCCTCACCTGAACCTGTATACCATACATAATATGTTGTGTATGTTCTACGTGCAGATGATGCCACTCGGGTCCTGTTGAAGGAGCTCCCAGACCAGCCTGGTTCCGACTACATCAATGCCAGCTTCATCGATGTCAGTAGGATAATGTAACCATACGATTAGAACTTTTCACCACTTCTTAAAAACACGATTTGCGTTGACACTATCACTCTAACTTTATGAAACTATTTAATGATCATACCACACATTCACCTTTATTTTATGCTTTCACTATAGGGCTACTCTCGACCCAAGGCGTATATAGCAGCCCAAGGTACGTATATTAATATTTCCATTGGTTATATTGTGTTTTCATATACATAGTGAATACTTTTGATAAACAGTTTTGAAGCAACATTAATTTTTATATTTACTACTCAGCCAATTTTGAATGTGAAAACTCAAAACGTTTGAAACAGCGCATGTCTCTATCGTTAGGCCTTATATGGTTTCATGAATATCGCTGAGGAATACATTTTCTCATGTAGCTGGTACACTACAAATAAAGTAATGAACAATACCATGTTACTCTTAAGTTGCATGGGAAATAGTATTTAGACTTTAATAGGATAGACATTTTGCATTATCCCGGTTACATAGTGTGATATGTTCCGCAAGTTATACATCAGGCCATTACCAACGTAGTTCCACGTAACAGGTTACATTACCATCTGTTTTGAAATAGAGGTGTCTTAACACTTTCTTGGAAATTGTTTGGCTGCTATGTAAACTTTAACCTTTCTGGTACTACTTTTGTTCCTTAATTCTTACAAATCGTAATAGAGCATTAAAACATAATGATGTAGGTTTATTCATTTGAACAAATTGGTTCACACAATGCATTTGCATAGATACAAAAATGTGTCGTTAGTTGCATACATTTCTCATATAAATTTGATTTGATGTCTGAATAGGTGTTAATACAATTTCATTCATAATCGTTTGGTGTCTGATGAACTAAAGAAATGACAGAACAAAGAGAATCAATCAGGCCTTTGAAACCAATGTAGACGAAGACTGATCAGCTGTACTTTGTGTAGTTATAGATAGAACAAAAGAGCAGGTATGAGGAGATTCTATTTCCCCTTGGCAAACGTAATATAGTTGATGAAGTTGTAATACCAACAGCACAATATGGTTTATCATGTAATTTAATGAAATTCGGTCAGATCGCTTGGCTGACCTTCCTATCTCAAAATTTGAATCCCACGCTTTCATATGACATGCTGCCTTATTTACAGCAATGGGGTTCGCCGTGTTATAAGCATCCACGATCATGACATTTTCTTGTATTTGCTTGTTAAAGTAACACGTCTGATAGCTCCTTGTTATGATATTCCAAACAAGCTCGTACTGTGAACTACAATGCCGGCAGTAATTATGTTAGTTATTTCAAAGTATCATATGTTGTTTCATCGTTGTATGATAAGTACATATGACAAACAGGGAATGAGAGGCGAATATATCCGACATTAGCGTTGATTTTCATTTGCTAAACAAGTCAGCGGTCTCTATAGGTTTTTTACAGGGATGTTGGAGTGTGCATGTTTCATATTCATAAGCTTCTTATAAGGACTCATAGGCATGGCATAATTTTGCTGAAAAATCATAAACTGAAATATTTATACACTTTACATGGCCGCTAAAACTCGTGACATGTACAAATATTCCGTTTGTGACAATAACTTGAAAAGGGAATCTCGATTAATAAAGAAATAAACGACGAGTGGATGTTGTTAATCGTACAATAAAACACTGTATAGAGGAAGATAAATCATGAAGAGCGCAGTTCTTTATTGTTCTTATACATAACAACATATCCTTTATTACGTGCAGCCCCCAACAAGATGACACTGAATGACTTCTGGAGGATGATCTGGGAATATAACTGTACAAGAATCGTCATTCTAACAAATCTCATGGAAATGGGGAAGGTAAGTTCTATACAAACATCTGAATGATTATCATGTGACGAAGTCGATTCCCATTCTCAAAGTCAAAACTATATAAAAACACCTCAATATTGTCATGTTGGAAATATATCAGTGACATCAATCTTGGGGATACATTTCAAGAAATACGTATTATTTGTCATAAACTTTTGAAACTAAATAACATTAACTTACGATAGAATTTGTTGCAAGTTGTTGACCCTGCTTGAATTATTGAGGCAGCTAAGAGACTTAGAGACAATGACAGATGCACATTCTTATGCACATAGCATAAATACAAATGGAAAGCATTTTGGAACAGCCCGTAGCTCTGTGTCGCGTATGAAATCAAAATCAAAATCGTTTTGCGGGAGCAGCACAGATATACGGTTCCTGCAACACTTGTACAAAACATCAGTTGGTGTGTTTGGGAAGCTTTTTTCGATTTTCAACCCTTTTAAGTTGTCGGTATGAAAGGCAAACGTATTCCACTTCAAACATGAGTGTCCGTTTTATGATGAGATTCATCCATGGATGTAGCTTCTATCTGGAAGGCATCTTCATGTAATGACCATATCCTGATCTGATTCTTTGCTTCATGTCAGGTGAAGTGCCAGGCGTACTGGTCAGATACATCGGACATACGTACAGATAGCTTCACTGTAGCTGTGACAAACATCAGCAAGCGGGCACACTGGGTCGTCAGGGAATTACACGTCACACAGAAAGAGGTAAAGGCCCAATCACACAGATATGATATACTGCATGGTATGGTCAAACACTAACCAAGTGAAGGTTTCTGTTGCGTTCCTTTTATGGACAGGTACTGAGAACGACTCATTGTCATTACATTTTTCAATGTTGAAAATGCACCAGGAAGCATGTTACTAGAAAACACGACAACAACGTTTCCATAATCATAAACATAAAACATCAACGTCAGAATATATACGTTTCGATTATCCACCGAAACAAAATCTGTGGAAAAAAGTCGAGACCACTGTACGTGTCATGAGCATGTGTTTATGAATCACCTTTCCATGGGGATGATACCAAGTGTTCGCGAAAAGGTGAAAAGTCATTGGTTTATGCATCTATGAAGTTTCTGTATCAAGATAACTGAAAATCTCAGTTGCTATTAACATCTGTTTTGTCAACAATTTTGTAGTCTGCACTGGTGACACAAATTACTTTGTTTGGCAAAACTTCAGACAAACACAACACGATGTTTCCACCATTTCCACTTCACAATGTGGCCGGACCATGGAACTCCTGAGGAGACGGCCTTCACTGAGTTTCTGTGGCTGGTCAGGACGTCATACAACACCAAGGACGACCATCTACTGGTACACTGCAGGTGAGGGAACTTGCTTCAACATTAATATGGACTGCAATGGATATGCCCTTGGACGTTCCAAATCTATCAATTTGAATTTGAGTACGTGATAAATAACATGATTCAAGCACAACCAATCAAAATGGCTAATGTTGTCTCAGTAGCTTGGGAAAAGAAACATTGAACATATTTGTCTGTGTCTTCAGGGCATATTACGCATCCTTATCACATTACTTACATGGCATTATGACTTGTGAACATTATATTTTCCAGTAGCAGATCCATAACAATGTTTAAGAATTTTAGAGAATATCATTTAAATATGAGTCCGAGGACGAAATAAGTACTCCTATCAGTGTTGTGTACACAGTCATATTATACCTGCTCCCCTCCACAGACACCATGTTTCTCTACAATGAATGGATGTCTTTCTCTTCTGGCTGACCTGTTTCTCTTAACATATGATTTAGAATTAATTACAAATTTATCTAGTACATAAATGTATATTTCATTTGCATTTAGCATTAAAGCACCAACTTAATGGAAAGTTAACTCATGACATACTAGATGTGAAAGAAATAACAGTATCATTGATTGCCTATATATGTGCACAGTCGTCGGTCAATGCACACGCTATCAGACAAAATGACTGTTATTTTCAAATATAACAGTTGTTATATATAACCGTAGTCCCAACAACTGTTGCTATGAACGATTTTAAACCTATTTCAACTTCGTCAGAACATGCTTGTTTCAAATCAATTTCACCAATGGTATGAAGTAATTCAAAGATGCAAATAATTTATTATGTCATCGATGAAAACATCTTTCAAAATGACAAATGTATGTCGATTAGATGTAAGGGTATGTCACTTACTGTAGTGCTGGGGTCGGCCGGACAGGGACTTACATCGCCGTGGACTACCTGCTGGACCAGGCTCTGGCTGAAGATAGGGTGAATGTGTTTGGTTGTGTCTCGAGGATGAGAGACCAGAGGAAGGGCATGGTACAAACCAAGGTGAGACACTGTAGTAATATATAACATGAAGGAGTGATGTTTGTGTTATCATATTAAGTATTGATTATTGCAATGGCAATGATGATAATATGGTGTGTGAGTTCGATGGTGACTACCAGTAATCAACTTCTTATAGATTAGATGAGGATAGTATCATGAAGATGCATGGTAAGGACTCAGAACAAAGAGATTCAATCCATGTTAGTTTATGTGAAACATCGCTTTACGAAAAAAGGCACTTAAATGCGATATAAGTACATTCTTAAGAATACCTTGATTTGGTAAGAATAGGATATTTGTAATTTTGGTTGAGGGCACATTCAGCTAATCCATATAAATAGCCGAAACTGGGTGTTGCATGTCAAATTTCTGAAACTTGTCTCACAGTCTCTCTGTTGTATAATCATAATACTTAAGTAACACATACTTCTTGGTCAACCATTTCTTTCTTGGTTCATTATAACACTGCAATATCCCATTCCTTCAGGAGCAGTACAAGTGTGTTTACATTGCTTTGTATGAAGCTCTGGAATATGGAAACACAGCAATGGATGTGGAGGAATTCAGTGGAATTAGAAATGTGAAAAAGGTGTTCTCAATGGGATGTATGACAATACCAAAGTTTATACAGGTAATCAATAGTTCTGTCATAATGAAAATTAATAATTTTGCGCCCAAGAATATTAAATCAGTACCTATCTATATGCATATTTATATGAATCTGTCTCAAATTATTTTTAGATTCTGAACAGCCAAAGAAAAACACAGCCCAAAGCAGGTAAGAAAGCATATGTTATGGTATGATCTTTTGAAGAGTTGTACTCACAAACTAAATTATCCAAAAGTATATTCAGTTTACTCTTTATAGGACATTCACATACCTGCTGACACATCATTTCAGGAACCAGTGTAAAGGGCCGTGTATGGATCAATGGACGTTCAGACGTACTGGCTGTGATGACACCGGTAATGGCTCCATCTATGTTGTTATAAGCGCATCTTTATTTGTGCAGCTGCTTTTCATTAATCGGCCATATATAATACATGGGACAAGAGTCACGGACAACTTGTTATACATTTCGATAGTATGTGCGATATTGTTCTTGAATTCTACCACTTTTACAGAATCTGTGAACTTCATCGTAATCTTAAGGATCACCCAAGTATCTCTTGGTTTGTTTCGATTGGCAATCGTATCTGGTTAGAATCTAGGCACCCAGCATCCACGTTGTGTATTTGCGAACTTGATATGATCCATGCTAGCAGCTACCAACACGTAGACAACGTCAGGGTCTTTCTGCATAGACTCTCTTAAAGTTTACATGTAAAACAGTAGGCTATACCTTGTACTTTATCCACCAGTCGCATCTGTCGATGAATGGCTACCTGTTAACGGAGGCTCCATCCGTCACCACAGCGTCTCTGTTCTGGAAACTCACAGAGGAGCAGGAGTCTTCCACTGTCGTCGTCCTGCCACACTCGCACCAGGTTGGTTAGTTTTTTGTTTGTTGTTTAACGCCGCACTCAGCAATATTCCAGCTATATGATGGCGGTCTGTACATAATCGAGTCTGGACCAGACAATCCAGTGATTAACATTATGAGCATCGATCTACGCAATTGGAACACGATGACATGCATCAACCAAGCAGGGAGCCTGGCCACCCGATCCCGTTAGTCGCCTTTTACGGCAAGCATGGGTTGATGAAGACCTATTCTACTACGCACCTCACAGGTCGATTCGCACCAGGTAGCAAATGGTCATAACCTGCACCTACGTGCAAGGCTGGGGTGTGTAATACTGGTTATTTAACTTCCATGCATTTACAAAGGCAACCTAAATGTTAATTATGGAATAAATATGGAAGCTTCAGTGAAACCTGGCTTCCTTGATTGTGCGATGGTGATCTATCCTGCTGTTTCTATCTCAATGTTGTTTTGTTTCGTAAGCAAAGTGAAATGGAACCAAGGCATGCGATTGTCGGGAATCATATCACATGAAATAACATCACTTATAAACAAAACATATTATACATATAAACAAAGCCTTAAAACATAATTAGCAGACATATTATTGCGAAAAGGACCAAGACATGCATGGAAGTCATTTGTTTGCAGCGTCTGTCCAGTTTTGTGCCATCCGAGGGTGACAGTCTGGATCTGAGTCCCGTCAATGTCAGATGTTCCACCGAGAACACCATCAACCCTGACATCGTGCTCAGGAAGATTCACAGGCAGATAGAGGTAGATCATTACTAAATTGCCTTGTATATCATAACCATTATATGTAAGCAACGCTACATCCATTGTTTGATAAAGAACTCATTAGAAGTGTCAAATAATGCTACATATATATGAATAAAATATCAACATCAGAGAATAACCAGTCTTGGCCAGGCGACGAGACATGTTCATTCCATTGGGTGTAAAAGGCAACAGAAATAATATGAATGGATCACTGGAAATACAATGTTAACTGACGAAGAAATCTGCCCAAACCACAGATTAGTACTATCGAGTTATTATCTAACTCTGTAACCTGTCCATTCCTTTTTTTAAACTGGATTCCAAAGTTCCATAACACTCCGTACAAATAGACATATATGACTTGATACAGAATTTCCTAATTGATAACGTCTATGTGAAATTTAAGGATAAGACATATAGGCAAGACATAGGCAATAACGATCAAAGGGCCAATTCCCTCCACTGATTAACCCATCTGAACTAGAAATATAAGAGACCAGTTAACACCCCTTGAGAGTAGTAAACACGCCTTATCTTTTTTTCCTGTTTAGATCTATGTCTAGAGATACAGTGACCAAAAATGTTTTATATTCGACATGTGAAGGACATTTCAAATCTGACGGATCAGTGACAAGACGTTTGTCTGATGCAACTCCTTATTTTGACTTGTACCATATGTTTCCCTGATTTATCTGATGAACGATCATCTTGCTTTACATGTGTTTGTGGCGGATTCAACAGGTGGGGCAGGATACACTCACTTTCTCGAACGCCTGGTACATCACTATCAGTGATACATTAACACAAGCTTGTGATAAAGACGGAGTGATACAATGGACTCTGTGCTTGGTAGAATTTTTTTTATGTTTACGGAATGTTATTTTCCATTCATATTTGCATAGTGGCACTACCATCATTTTAACACTTATTGCTTGCAATCTTATATCGACCTGTAACATTCCTGCATTAATGCACACTAGAACTACCGGTTGAGCCATATGATCGTCACATTATGTATGTTCCTCCTGGTCCAGTCACAGCTCACACCTTCTGCGCTGCTCTCACTGCCACATAATATTAATTGGGACTTGTATGACAATACAAAAAGAGCAGATTCTACATATAAATGAACCAGAAACACTTTTTGCAGTCAGTTTAGCCCAATTGTTAAATAATCATTATGGACCATTTGTGCTGTCAAATGGAGAGAGTATAGTGATCAAAGTGTTCGCTCGTCACGCCGAAAACCCAGGTTTGAATCCCAACTGGGTATGTGTGAAGCCCATTCCTAGAGTCCCCGTCATGATATAGCTGGAATATTGCTCAAGGTGGAGCAAATCCATTATCACTCACTCATTCAAAATGTCTCAGACTTGAGCAACTATTTAGTCTTCATACCACATAAATATGTTGATCACAATAGTCTACGCATCATCTTTGCAATTTTAAAACGAGGCCAAATAACACTATTTGGGTAGATCAGGATGGATACTTGTGCTTAATAATCACGTCTGACAGAAAGCCCCATTGGCACCGGAATATCTTAGCTCTAAGAGAGTATTGTTTATATAGACAAAACGTTTAAGTAGCATTTCATATGTCAACAGCATTCTACACCTACACTGGTGCACGTGTACATTTTGAAAAAGTCGCCACAAGAATCATCAGAAACTGTACTAAGCCTCCTGGATCAAATCGCCGTTCACTCAAGTGACCACAGTGCAACAAATCCAGTTACTATCGTGTACCAGTAAGTGAAACATTCCTTTATTTGCACTGCCACTCATATGCCAAGGGCAATCAAGCATAAATAATCATTTAATGGATCAATCATTAGAACCATAAGTACATTATCTTCTTGTCTTAAGTATATTTTGTCACACTGCGACGTCCATCAGATCCGCTGTCTGCTCGTTGATGGCTTTATTCACTTGATGAGTCATACTGCCTTCCATAGGGTGAGGTGACAACAATTCATATTCGTCTCCAATAGGAAAGGTAGAAAATGAGTTTCAATATTTCTGAAAGTTTCTCTTAGTTTGTTAAAGCTGGTAGAGAAACATATCTACATTACATATGCATATTTCCTGTTGATAAACAACATACAGTATACACAGTGGAAATGTTGATGTGCTGATTCTATTCCCAACGTCAGTGAAGGTTGGGAAAATCTTATTGGTTATTCCCATCCACATACTGTAGTAGGCCTTGACATGAACTGAAGTACCCTCACCATTACCATTACGAAATGTGTTACAGAGACCACAGACAGGCGAGCGTCGTGTTGTGCATCCTAAATAATATTGTCCAAGGTTTGAAGCATGACAAACGCGCTGAGATCTACAACAACATGAGGACTATGACCCACTGTCTGGACCAGGACATCACACAGGTAGTGGCGATGTTGATACAAAGATATGTCAATGTATACAATCTGGTATAGTCCATAACTGACATGTTTCTGTCCTATTACAAATTGATGTACATAGTTGATGTTGAAGATGCGTAAATGGTGTAGAAGCATGATAACCAAACGTAGCTATTCATGTCATAACTGTTCTCATGTGTGTTGACGACATACCAGTTCTACAAACAACATATGTGACTTTTTTTCACATTTTCTTCTTCAAGGCTGACGTTGCCCTGTGTTACGACGTCGCAGCAGCGTACCTAGAGTCCCAGACCATCTACACCAACATGTGATGAACTCCCTCTTACCATTACTGATGCATGCAGAACCGAGAAGGTCTTCACTAGGACTGGCTGGATTTTCACAATAGAATATGTTTTTTTAATAATTTGTTATAATATGTGTGCACTAAGAAGTTACGATTTGTTCTTAGGTATCAGCTTGTTATATTTACTGTTATGTGAAATCCTGTTCCACTGAATCCAATTTTTGAATTATATAGGTGTATATTTGTGATTTACATGTATGTGTAAATACTTTTAAAAAATATGCATAACCAATCGGGATAAGATTTTACCATTATATGAATAGAATTTGAAGCCGCATGTATGTGTAGTACCTTAACATCGTCTATCCATAAGCCCACAGCAGGCCTTGATTATTTCCGTTTGCTGAATAGCTGGTACTTTGGTGTTTGTCACAATCTTTATCATATTCGACATGTATATGATAACAACTCTGACCAATATCTGACCATACTACAAAAGAATGTCATACACGTACTTAACGTAAGTCAGTGTTGTAGGACATGTTTGAATAATGGTTAACGTAATGACAGTAACTTCTCTCTGTATTGCTAAATTGCAGCAAACATGTCAAGGGCATAAACAATATAACTGCTTTATGAAACCCCATTACAGATATTTTCGTTCTATTAGAATGGTGTCAACACTGTTCACTGTGTGGTTGTAGTACGATTAGTGCTTAGCTAAATATTTCAACTGGAAATTTGTAAAGATATAAGTTATCTTGAGTAACGTTATGAAATAAAATCAATACATTATCGCTAGACCACTAAATGCTGTGTTTTAAACTGTTCCGCGTCCATGATAGCGTCACCATGGTTTAACTTGTTAAGTAGAAAATATATGTGTACTGATCACACCTGCACTAAACCAGGGGTGATTCCATAATCATATTTACATAAAAGAAGAATGCGAATGCTATTTGATATTATTCAAGACACAACGAGAGCTTTACACATACGCTTACAACAACGTTATTCGCGACCCTTAAATCGAGATGACCGTATATTTATCCATGAAACAACATATGGTATGCATATAACAACATGCACCGACGAAGCTTGTCATTAATATCTATAGCTGTACTTGTGGTTACATGAACAGTCTTGAGATGTTAAACTGTGAAAACCTTACACTACTATATATCATGCAATGTCTATCAATGATCCTAATTCTAATGTTATCTAATTCTAGATATGTGATAATGAGTAAAATATATGTTCAATATTTTGTGTGTACTATTAATTTCGACAACCAGTGCATCTCTATGTCTCTCATCATGAAGCCTACAGGTTACATTACCGCCTCCGTGGTCTAGTGGTAGAGCGTCCGCCCGGAGAGCGGCAGGCCGAGGGTTTCAAACCAAAAAACGTTAAAAGATGGCACTTGTTGTTACCCTGTCGAGAGAGTGAAATCACATCAATGTAACGGGAATTACTACGAACTTATAGCACTTATTAACTTTCATACACGTAATTTTCAAATTTTCCTGAAAAGAGGTTGGAAGGCAGCCTTTATTTCGATGCCAGACAGGTACTAATAACTAAGTTGCAAAAAAAAGCTACAGACATAATACTTCCTCCTTTGAAGATCATGTAAAGTCAGCATATTTCTTCCGAAACTACAAGGACATAATCCAAATCGGAAGTACTCAACACTGACGAACTAAGCTGGAGCAATGAACAAACTGAGCTACTATTTTTCTGGTTCTAGGCCAGTGAAAGAAGGAATCTGTTGACTTTTCTCAATAAGACCAGATGTATTTAGAGCTCAAGGCTATTTGAGTGGTCAAATGTAAATGCATTGCCCTATTTTAGGGGTCAAACTTGAATCTCCGCATCACAAGGTAATGTCTGTACCAATAAATTATCCCATCGCTTGGTCCAGATCTACGTGGCCTGGGTATTTAGGGTATGACCAAATAACCACGTGCCAGATAGGGGCGTATCACTTGCGTGTGGCCACATGCAGGTTGGTTCCAAGGTGTACATTTGTCAGGTGAGGTGAATTAGGGTCTCACGTCGGGGGTGTGTGCACAGTGGTACAATCTCGACGTCCTATTTTCATGCACATTAAGCTTTCACAATGTAACGTCAGATCTAAACATTATGTATTACAATTAAACAATTTACTCAGTCATACATACATGCTAGGAATCTGTAAAGCTGACGTCCGAAATAGTCAAGATGTGTTGACACGGGAGAGGATATCGTTTGACAAGAGCGATGAATGAACAGTAATTCTTAAATAAACACCATCACTGAAATTTATAGTAGAACGTTACTTTTCGGATGATTTGGTCTCTTTGTTGTAGTAACATATCACACAGATATCATAAGTCAAGCTTCATGTTTGGTGGACAATTCAAAATTAACAAGAAAGGGTTGTGGTATCAGTTATCCACAACACATCCTTATCATGTATTCAACATCACTGCTGGAATATTTGCTGAAAGCCATGTGAAACAATAATCAAACAAACCTATGTTGTTGACATTGTGCAATCTGCAAATCTACCAGATATATGTGAGCGAATGACAAAGTGATTAAATCCGTGGGGCTTTTAGCAATATTTCAGCAATATCATTGCAGGAAACACTTGAAATAGACTTCATACTATACCCATGCTAGGAATCAAAAGCGCGTCTTCGGCGTAACGAGTACAAATTTAGCTACTCTAAAGTCACCACAAGATAGAGCAATAGTTAGAGGGGTTATGCTAGGTACGAGACATGTGTACGGTGAAGAATTCTTTTGTGCATTTTCTTCCAGGTCGTGTATTAATACTAGTCGCACATAGTCGTAGTGTGAATAACCCGTGCAGTCAGTAAATACAATCACAATGCTCTATGTCAGAACTTGACTCTAGAAGACGTTGACTTACTTCCTGATGTACGTATACATGTCCACTCGTCAACATGGAGGGACACAGGCTCGGTGTCCTGCTGTGGATCTGTGTCTGTGTGCTTGACGTTGTAGCAGGTAGGTGCTCAAAAACGTACAATGGTTCTCGAAATGTTTATCTAAAATTGTGACATAAATATCGTCAAGAGAACTGTATTATTGGCGTGGTATGTCTGAGGCGTTAGGCAACAAACACTACAGTCTGAATTTTATTGACTAAATATGTAAGTGGTGGATGCTATCGTAAGAGAATAACATGCCGACCGTTTCCCCGAATACCTGGTGAAATCACTGATTTTCAGTGATCCATTGATTTAATTCTCAACACTACTTTGCTCTTAACGCCAAATGGAAACTGTATGGGCAGATAATCGAGATTGATTATTGTCTGGCGTTGACGTTCTTTTATGTTAAGAGTCCATTCAATGGTTTATTTATAGGGCTTATTTTCCTTAAAGTTTATTAAAAAAGTTGGACAATGTGTTATTATACACAGGTAGCATAAGAGCTACATAATATATTTCTGAGGTTATATTTATATGCTATACTTTGGTATTCTTGACTTATATTTGACAATACATTTAAGCTCTAGCTCCTTAGTACCATATATAGTAGTTTCCCAGTTAACAGTAAACTCTTGATAGGTCAAACTAACCTTCCTGTTGAACACTTGTTCCTTGTCAGACATCACACACATGCACCTGTTTGACACTTACGTGATACATTATTTCAGGATTCCTCACTAATAGTCTGACAAAATATGTATGTACTATTCTATTTATTTCCATCGTATGGAAATATGCTTTCCTCCATGCAGTGCTGCAATTTAGGAAATTAAATGTAAGGCCCTTAAGGGTCTGCACGTCTGTAAAACGTGTAGGCCAACTCAAAGTGCTCTAGGTCTACACGCAAGAATGGGCGACAATTGATTTTGAAAAGATATAAATGTGCACGTTCATACCTTTAACAAATTTGTAGAGGAACTATTGAAACTTTACATTTATGATTATTCACCATCTTTCATAAAAGTGTCGTTGAACTATATTGCTGATATTTATAACTGACCTGATTGTACATAGACATTCTGTTAACAATTGAAGTAAACAATGTGTCATGTTGATATTGTTTTCAGATCTATCATAAACTCTGTGTGTCTCTAAAACACAGAGCCTGGTATCACCACTTGTGTTAACTGTCAGTACGTGTTGGATACCTGGTAGCATCACTATTGTTCCACGATGGAGCGTGTTGGTACATCGCGCCGTCACTATTGCTAGCGGCGGTCGGGTAGCCTAGCTGTTAAAGCGTTCGCTCGTCACACCGAAGACCCGGGATCGATTACCGACATGGGTACAATGTGTGAAGCCCATTTATGGTGTCCCCCGCCGTGATATTGCTAGAATGTTGCTAAAAGCGGCGTAAGACCATACTCATTCACCCACTCACTATTGTTAGCGAAACTGTATGACAGGAGAGGTGAATTTTAATTTCGCACTCATTTCGAGTAACAAACCATTAGCGTGAGCTAATGTATCAAAGTATTCAAGATCCTTTCCTTCACACGCTTTTTATAAATATTATATGAGATTCCTGGTCAAGACCACAATCATATAGTTGGAATACTGATGAGTGTAGGGTTCAACAACAAGTGAAGAAGCCACACAGACTAACAAAGTTTGTTTGGGATGGCAGAGCAGGCACTATAGTTATACATAGTTTACAGTGGTGTAATAAGCTACCACAGTGGTGGTATTAGCTATCACTGTATTCATTGTGATCATGTTCATATTTGGAGAAAAGAAAGGAATGCGAATGAAGATGGTTGTGCTAGCTTTACATACTACATATGACAAGTACTCAAATCGGAGACAGATGGGGTGGAATTAGCTTTTCGGTACTTCGCCAATGCGACAATGTTGCTTTCTATTTATACTTTTGGGTAAAAATAAAAACAGTTCAAACAGCCAAATCAGGATTTTAATTTCACTCTGTATAGTCCATTTTTCCTCGTATCTCGTAGGAGTCTCTAATGCTTATGTTACAACAGTTCACTTGTTTCAAAATCTATGTTTGATCTATATTCGATACAGATAACACATATACACACTGATAAACTGTTATATAAGAGAATATTGCTCAATATAATATGTATGAACGAGAGGAGAATCCGTATTATAAAGAAGAAAAATAGTGTTTGTTTCATGCAATATCAATTGACTGTTACACAGGCGAGAGAGACTCAGTGTCAGGCTACCTGTCTCTCGTGAATTAAGTATCCGTGCTTGACACATGATACAAACAATTACCTCAGGATTATACTTACATAGTAAGACAAAAGGATCATTTGCGATGATTATACATCAGAGTAATTGCTTATGTATATGTAACTTATAAAGTGATTTTGACTGATTGCATGCGGCATGTGATTGATTTCTAACATAAAATATATATAGTTTTAAAATGCATTTTATACACGTTTCTGTCAGCTTGCTCAATGTGTAAATCAGTGTCACATAAAGCAGGGAGATGTGCAATTGAAAATGAATTAAATATGGAAAGAGGGTTAATTATTTTTCAGGGTAAATCCTACTGTACTGTGCATTGTGTGTATTGTTTATTGTATTCCGAGTATGGTAATATATAATTACACAAGCTATCAATACCAGTAACTGTTCGATAAACGGGTAAAGTGTACTTTCTACTGTGCCTTCGGAGTAAGCGGTCGTTGTTGATAGATATATCCAAATCACAAACAAATTTGTGTATCAAGCATTCTGTCAAATGTGTTGATGACCAAAGGACTGCCAGGATTTATAAGGAGTGGAACATCTGTGATAAAATGGCAGTTTTCCTAAAGATGTGAATCCTACATGCAGAACAGCCGATGTGGTAGGCATAGAGATTTACAATGTCGTGAACATATGGTCAACTGTATACTAGTCATAGTTTATTATATCTAAATGTGCGACGCGAACAGACAGTGTTGTAAAACTGTAAAAAGTAGAACACACTGACCACGACTGTAGGATTGTGTCCCTTTAACAAGTCCCTGGCGTAGGTAGTCAAAAATCATGAACTTCAAGCCATGCTCGAATGCATCTGCATTTACACAGGATAAGCATGACTTTGTATTCATTGTATGCTGAGTTCTTTCAGTCCGCCTGCTATTTGCTTTACAGCACTATCATTCTTCAAACCCTGCAGAACATGAATGGAAGAATGTATTTGTTGGTATACGTGTGCAGTAGGCCAATTGAAGCTTCTGTGTACTTCTTCCTTTCAGCA